TCTAGAAATCCTTAAAACTTCGAAGTTTCGTGGGTTTTAGTAAGAGAGATAATAGAACAAAGAAATTATTTATTATTTATTAATTTAACACAAGTTGTTTCCAGGGAACAAAACGAAAAACAAGTTACAATTGAAAGTAAATTTCGATCCTTTAGTCATTCTTGTCAATTTTCAACTTCAAATTCAGACCTCTTCTCTCCTTCTTCTTCTCGTTCTCTCTCACATTTATAGAGTGAATTTTTCTGATTAATCTTCAAATTCACACTATCTTTTCTTCTTCTCTTATATACAGGGGAGCAGGAGCTTTACTATTATATTTTAGTAATTAATATAAATTAAACTTTACATTTAATTTATATTTAATATTTCTATAATTTAGTATTTGCGTTTGCAATACTTATTTTCATTTCTCCTTCTTTACATCAGCATCACGATTTCCACCACATTCTTCTCAGAACAACAAAGAAGAACATTATCTATTTTATTGAACTTCAATATTGTACAAACAGTTTTTTGTACAAGAAGTTTATAATTAAATTAATAATAATTGTTGCTGCTGATAGAATAGAATTGGGTGTTGTTTTGTGAAGCTATTAGTAGGGCCTAATTAGCACCACAAATTTCTCACAAAATGTCTGCCCAAGCAAACATCACCTATGAAAAAAATCTAGATATATTTCGTCTGTAATCGGGCGATACTCGACTAGTTATCATCTGGATTACTAACGGGTGTCCCATAAAGAATGACCCTCTTAGTATTTTCTCAATATCTTTTTTGATTCTTATCCTTTCGGGCTGAATTTTGTTTTAAAAAGTTCAGTTTTCAATTCTCTACAAAACTGTCTGGTTTTATTAACGTAAATAACCGAAATCATTTGTTGACAAACGATTTGTCCAAATGTTACAACTTTCAAATGCAACTTCTTCTCGAATGTTTTTTTACTGCACGTTTTAGTTCTTGAATTAGGGTTGCTTTTGATTTTACTTTGTTCCAATTGATAACGTGAACAAATTCATCCCAAATGATATAGTCCAAAGGGTTCAAATCCGGCCTATTTGGGGGCCAATGATCCTTATCTATAAACGCAGGAAAATTGTCTTTGCACCATTGTTGAGTTAAACCGTGTGTATGTGGCCTTGTTTCATCTTGTTGAAATATCCAGTCATCGCCACACACTTGATTTCCGTATTTAAGAGCCACGGGCAGCACTTCTTGAATATAACGAGCATGCTTTACCGTGCCTTTGTTCAAAATTACCAATGGTGTTACACCTTTTGAACACACTCCCAATCAAACCATTACTTTTTGTGGAAACTGTCGCTTCTGTTTCGTACCATCCTTTTTATCAGCTTCAGCACGATCAAGTGCCCATACACGATCATTTTGAGCATTGTATACACCATCAATATCGAACATTTTCTCGTCCGAAAAAAGAATTCGCATTGTTTCTTCTTTTTGAAAATTTGTTCGTATCCAATTTGCAAACTTTTTCCTTTTGATCTTACGATCGTCGGTGAGTAATAGTTCGACCGTTGTCTTATAGGCTCGATATCCTAGATCAGTTTTAAGTATTCGATGAACACTTGTTTTTGAAATATCGAGTTCAATCGACAGTTTTCGAATTGATACTCTTTTCTTGCGCTTTAATCGACTTTTCACTTTTTGAATGTTTCCTTTTGTTCGAGCAATAGGTGGACGACCAGGTGAATACGGTGGTTCGACAGAGTCAGTCTCGACGATCATTTCGTACCATCGTTTAACTGTTTTGAGATTAATGGCACCATTTAAATCATGAAATATTTTAGTCGGACCATCAGCATTTTCACACTTTGAAAGTACAAGGTTTCGAATATCTTTACTTTTCATTATCTATAAATATACTGAATGTGTCGACAAGAAAAAGAAGTACACAGTTTTGGAGAGAATTGAAAACTGAATCTTTTAAAACAAAATTCAGCCCGAAAGAATAAAAATCCAAAAAGATATTGAGAAAATACTAAGAAGGTCATTCTTTATGGGACACCCGTTAGTTGGATAAGGGACTTTTAACTAGATGCGTCTGCGTGTGTAACTAGCAATAGCTAAATCGATCTATTATCGGGTGATAAATCCATAGTTATATTGCAACTAGAAGAAATCTAGCAGTCGTCCGATTAGTAGATTTACGCTTAGGTATAAAAATGGACCTGCTCAAGTTACGCTTGTTCTCTTATTTAACTGTAGCCGATATTTTTTGTCATAGAAATGCACACTTTAAGTTTTCATTTCGAACTTGAAGACATATGTTAGGTTATTCCTTTCAGAATCGTTTTGCATCCAATGGTTAATAGCCAAAGAAGAATGTAACTGCTACACATACTTTATTTCAGCAAATTAACAACTATATATAGTATATCTCAGCTACAGGAA